CAGTCAGCTCATGCTCCCAGGAGATCTCGTGCGCCCTCTAGTGGAGAAAGTGGACAAACCTCCAGATCCCAATACATAGTTTTTTTTTAACATTCAGAGACAACCCTGCATTATGGAACCACACTGACACAGTTTGTAGATGTCCTGACAGTTCATTAGAAACTGCTTGCACAGTCTTTCCACGAACATAAATTACTGCATCGTCTGCATATAACTGAAAACCTGCTGTTGGACAAGACTCTGACAAGTCATTAATGTATAATGTAAAGGGTAGAGGGCCAAGGATGGATCCCTGTGGCACTCCTGTATTTATCTTTAAAAATGATGATTTTTCATTGTTTATTGTGACACATTGCTCTCTTCCTTCTAAGTATGATTCAAACCACTGTAAAGTTTTCGGTGAAAATTTTAATTTGGATAATTTTGCAATTAGAATTTTATGATTTAACGTATCAAATGCCTTTATGAGATCCAAAAAGACTGCACCTGCTGTCTATTGCCAACTTTATTTGTTCAATGAAATAACAGTTTGCTGTATCCGTAGAATAATGAGGTCGGAAGCCAAACTGTAAAGGATGTAAGATTTTATGATACTGTATGTACGCCATTAACTGATTGGAGACTATTTTTTCTAACACCTTAGAAAATACAGGCAGGATGCTTATAGGCCGATAGTTACAGGCCTGTTCTTGGGATCCTGACTTAAAGATAGGCATAACTCTAGCCTGTTTCCAGGGTGCAGGTAATTGCCCGCTCTCAATGGACAAATTAATTACATGCGTTAGAGGTTTTATGAGTGCATTTTTGTTTCGCTTTACAAAAGCAGTATTAATGTGGGAGAGATCCATGCCTGAAGCGCGCGCGGGCGCGTTCATGGCGCTACGGAAGCCGGCAGACCAAACCAGATGAAAGTGCGCATTCAGCGTCTGCTCTGCCAATAATGCAAGCGTAGAAGAAGAAATGTGCTGTTTACCTGTGCAAAGAAAGAAACAACGAAAGAAAAATGTCTGAGGACTTCAGTGTTGAGGAAGAGCATGAGTTCTTTGCCGAGCTGAATGCGCTGGTTTGGTCTGCCGGCTTCCGTAGCGTCGGGAGCGCGCATGTGCGCGCTTTCAGGAAATCCTATACACTACTGTTTATGCTCTAAAAACATTCTAAATGACTTCGTTTCGAGTAAATTCTGGATGCTACCCACTCAGGACACTTGGAATACATTGGACAAGCAGTATGGAGGAATATTGACACGTTTTTTGTGGACTTTTATGGACCTTTCTGTCTCGGTCACCATAGACCTCCATTATTTGAATGTCAGCAGACAGCAAGAAGCCTCCCAGATCTCCAGATGCATTTGAGATATCAAAAAAGTACTCCAGAGTGTTGTTCAGCATGGGGGTGAGTAGAAAATGAAGGCTAATCATGTTTTGGGTGTACTATTCCTTTAAGCTGCTGGTTGCCACCACTTCGATGCCAGAGTGTTTGCCAGTTTGGGGTACTCTAGCCAAGCCTTTTTTATGCTAAGTCTAATCTGAGTTTTGCATTTTGAGTTTTTGTCCTCTAGCCAAGCTGAGATCACATTGAGTTTTACTGAGTGCTTGTTTCTCCGTGAGTCTTTGTTTGTTCTTTGCCTTTCGGCAATAAGCCTTCCTGCAAACTGGACCTTTTCGGACTGCCTTCTCCCAAGTGGGATCAACTGAGTCTTACACTGTGCAATGGATTCCAAGCAGGAGGAATCCATTGCACGCTGAAATCACTCTCTGAGTAAGGAAGTCATCTCCACCATAACCCGTTCAAGTACCACAGGAAATCTGAGTTGCAACCAGCGGCTGCATCATTCCACTCTGTCCGAGTTCTGGGTAAACCCTGTTCCGCCCTCCACCGAATCAAACAAACTCTGGAAGACCAACACACCGATTGGAGTCTACGTGGCTCTTCTTCTCTGGAAATGTGAGTGGCAACAAATCCTCTCCTTCAAGATTAACAACTCCAATTCCCCACTGAGCCTGAATCTAACAGTCTGTCTTCCCCTCGTCTTCCAGTTTCCCGGCAGAGCAGAGTTCGGAGAAACTCTGCACCGAACTCAAAATACTCGTGGGTCATGTGGGTCCGAGCTTTAGATAAAATCATGACAAATTCCAGTTTAACCCCCAAACTGCTCCCTGGGCGCCAAACAATGGCAGCCCACTGCCCCCCAAGGGGATGGGTTAAATGGAGAGAGTTAATATTGCTGCTCTGTACTTCTGACAGTGTAATGACAATAAAACGCTTGAAAAATTAACACTATGAAACATAAAAATGCATTTACAACCCAAAACAACTTCTTACTAAGTAGTTTCCAGCCCTGACATGTTATTAACATATTTTATGAGGTCCAACAATGATATGGCCACACTCACCTATCATATTTGGTGTCTTCATCCAAAGTTGCAGTGACATCTTTGGCTAAGATGAGGTTGACCGTCCTCTTCACTGACAGCAGGTTCGTTTAATTTCAAATGCTGCATCCTCCATGGATCGGTCACCAGCTTCTGCTCTCCCGACATAAAGCTTTTCACTGTTAACTGCAGACCTTTGTATCTGCCTAGAGAGTTCACTGTTGTTAGCATCACTGCTCTGTATGTGCCTCTCAGTGCTAACATAATTTTTTTTCACGTGGGAGGGGTGTCAGCTTTGAACAGCTGTGCAGTTCTTCTTGAACACTTGCATGAATTATGAGCATGTTGGCAGATTTTTAATAGTGCTAACGTGGTATCTAGTTCATATCCACAATTATTTTAGGATAGTTTAAATGTCATATGAAGAGGCCATGAGTGTTCAGACTGTCTCTGAACTTCAATCTTCACACTGAGGGTGTTTTCCTCATTGCTGGGGATTTTAAACAGGCCAATTTGAAGCCTGTTCTTCATTTTTACCAACATGTGGACTTTGCAACTTGGGGACAGAACCCTTTAGACCTGGTTTACTCTAACATCAAAGATGCATTTAGAGAAGCCCTGCACCCCCACCCCCCGCCTCAGCTCTTCCGACCACCTATCTGTCATGCTGATCAGCGAGGTACGTTTAATATAATGTCTTAACGTCAATTTAGGAAGGAATTCCATTTCAATATTCATAGAATAGTTCTTCACTTATTGACAAATTAAGGTGTACTATTTTCTCTATTCAAGGAATTTATTTAGTATAGTGAGTTAAAATCAAGATTATTAAACTTTGATTCTTCCTTGAAATCAGGCTTTTTGTCCTATGCACTATCTGTACTTACATTGTTTTTACATCTATAAATAATATCCGCCATGAAAAAAATATGATACAAATATTTTAGTTTAAATAACTTATTGAGTTACATCAATCACAGCATGGTGACATGACAGATAGTTTTAAATCTAATCAAACTTAGTGCAGATCATCCAAAGTTTCCTTTTATTGCCAAATTCTGTTTAGAATTAGCAGATGTTTATGAGGACAAACATGTGGAATGAAACGTTCATAGTGTTAGGTTTATTCTTTATACATCATGTGCATTGTTATTCTGTTAGCCAGATTAGACAGAGTAGAAGGCCTTCCTTCACATTGTGGATGTCACTGTGTGTACGGAGGTCATCTAATCAGGACAGCCTTCCTGTCTTTAAAAATATACAGGATATGGGCACATCTTGGAGCCGGACTGATAAAGGGGAGCTATCTGTAATTCTTGGGCATAGAAGCAAGACGCATACAGGTCAGGGCATTGATGGCGTGTCAGTTTCTGATACGGACAGCAAAGCATTCACCTGATGCAACACATAGACTCATAAGGTATAAGAAGGAGGAGATGACCTTGTTCGGGGCTCAATCTTATTTTTATTTTGTTTTTCATTGTGTGCGATACAGGTACACTTGCACCTTAATCCTTATTTACCTTGATATACTGCATATCCCTGGATATACTGTATATATATATTGTTTATTGTCTATTTTTAATGCACCTTTTCCTCCTTGTTTGCACCTTCTTTGACTTGTATACCAATATGAGACAAGTGAATTTCTCCGCTGTGAGATCAATAAAGCTCATCTAATCTAATCTAATCTTTGCCGGACGCTCGCTGATGTTTTTTGAGCCCACAGCTGTGCCAACTCCAAGCAATTTCTCTGTCCTTTAACCACCTAAACTGGAATAAACTCTGTAACTTCTGTACTCCTGTTTTATAGTCCTTTTTTATATGATTTTACCCAGTTTGAGTTAAGAGTAGTAGATAACTTGTTCCCAGGAAAAGAACCGAAAGGGAAGTTCTGAGGCGCAGCCGCTTTCAGAGGAACCTAACTTCATTATTTAACAATAGGGAGCAGAGGAAGGTAAATAAGACACACATCTGCTGTAACCTTGGTCATACTGTTATGTTCAAAATTGTAGGTTCATGATAAAAGAAACTGAGTCCACAACAGAATAGGGTTCTTTTGCTCCTCCAAGAGGAGAGAATCACGTTCAGCTACATCTGCCCTCCCTCTCTGTCTCCTCAGCAGAAGCCTTTTATTAGCAGATCATAACACATGGGTTGGGTTACAGAACAGTGTTCTTCTGACAAGGCACTTGATTGGGTCATAGGACAAAATGCTCCTCTTGATTGAATCACAGCAGCATGCTGTGACTTTGCCTCATGACCTAATGATTGAATCACAGGATAGCAGGATGCAGGTCACAAAAGTCTACGACCCTCTTGATTGAGTCACAGCACACACATGTAGCATAATTTTATAATCATAACTCTAACACATACAAACATTTACTGATGAATTATAAAACGTTATTAACATGAAAGGGAGAAACTGAGAAGAATAATTGGAAGAACAGACAAAGAATGGAGTCTGAAAGGAATGTTGGGAAATGAAGGAAAATACATTATATTCACAGATTAAAGAAAGCAAAACCCTTTTATCTACAGAATACAAAACAAAAAATTAGAATTTGTAATGTTGCTACACACTCAGTAGGTGGCGGTATGCACCATAAAGTTGCTTGCGATCCGCCATGATAGAACAGAAGAAGAAGAAGACTGTGGGTCCCGCAGCAGCAGCAGCAGCAGCAGCAGCGTTAGCTTCCTTCCTCCGTGGAGTGTTTGTAGAGAGGCTGATGATGTGTGAGTGTTTGCAGGGAGAATGTGTTCAGTCCAGCTTCAAGGAGAGTTTATCAGCGAGCAGTTAACTCCTGCTGAAGAAACATTGACGGAGGTTAAAGGAAGAGAGAAAAGGCCCAAAGTGGAGATGGACGATCAGCACAGACTGCTGGATTTCACCAGGATCCCCCAGAGCATCTTACACCGGATAGGTAGGAAACACCTGATAGAAACGATTCCCTCAGGATGCAGACTGAGGGTTGGAGCCTCAGCTGATTGGAAAACTCATTAGAGGAGATCAACATGCTAAGCTAAAGCTAGCTTCTGCTTCAGCTAAAGGGCTGTTCCACCTCTTTTCTCTCCACTTTAACTGTCTTTATTCTGCTCTACTCTAAAAACTTCAGCACTCAGACACTTCAGACCTGGATTAGATAATCCAAGCTAACAGCAGAATCTTTAAAGCTCCTTTGGGATTTGAGAAAGCTTTATCTGTTTTGTGAAACAAAGAGCCCTAGGAAGGCTTTTTTAGCATGTGGGCCTCATTATAGTTGGTGTTCTAGGTCAACTGGTGGTGGCAGCTGGATTATGCACTATGTAGTTTCCAACTAGTTAAGGAACTGGAAAAGCTTTAAACTGACCTTGAAAAATATTTCAGTTGGATCATGAATAAGGTGTATGAACCCAAATGGCAGCCAGTAATCAATAAATCATGTGCTGTCACTGTTAAGAAAAAAAAAATAATAATAATAAACTCCATGGAACTGTAAGATTAACTAGAAAAAGCTGTTTTGGAGAAACATCAAAGTGGGAATGCTTTTTTGCTGAATGAAAAAGAAAATTAGCTAAAGAAACTGCAAGAAAGAAAAGAAGCACAAATTAGCTGAGGGACATTTGAAAATGTGATAGGAAGTATCCAGAAACCTCAAACAACAGAAAAAAGTAGAATCATCTGAAGATTTTGTAGGGTAGAATCATTTGGCAGAATAATGGCAGAAACACCCTCATCTTAAAAGCAAAACATTTAGTTAAAGTTGATTAACCAGAAGAAAAAAGTCTAAAAGTATCTGTTTACCTTGAAGTTGACAGAAGCAAAGCGTCTGCTTACGAGGTTAGCAGATGCATTATTAAAGTAGAAATTTTAGAGCTTCATTAAGAAATGTGCACTTAGGTGTGATGTCAACAGGCCTTGGTAGTGTAATCTGAAGAAATTGGTTGAGTTCGGATCATACCTATAACTACACTATAGATTATTGTAGTGCCACCACACTTGTAGTATACATATATATTACCTCACCTGGGTCACACTACAAAACTCTATTTTTTTAGATGTTCTCATTTGTTATTTTAACCATACAATCTCCAATAAATGCACTATAGATTACCACAGTGCCACCAACCCTGTAGTACACATAGATAACCTGATCTAGATCATACACAGGGTTTCCGCGGGTCATTAAAAGTCATTAAAAGTAATTAAATAGATAAGTAATTAAAAAGGCCTTAAATAGCATTAAAAAGCATTAATTTCAACGTCCGGAGGCATTGAAAAGTACAAACACTTGATGGAACAAAAACATTGTTTTTCAGAATTTATGTTGACTACAAAAACATTGTTTTGTTTAGAAGGATAGTGTGATAATGAGCACGTTGATAATCCAACGTGCTGTCTGTGTCGCATATTCGTGCTGTGGTGAAAGAGCGAAGCTAATTTTAGGACAAGATGGGAAAGTGTAACTTTCAAGAAAAGTTGTTGGAGGATGAATGATTCAAAACATGGCTAAAGCCCGCTGACTAGGGCTGGGTATTTTGGCCAAAGTCATGAATCGATTCGATTTTGATTCATACAGTTCTAAATCGATTAATTTCGATTCAATCTGTTTTTACAATAATGAGAGTTGTTCAACTGTGTTTCAGAATACTCATGTATTTTATTTTTTCCTGTCATATTAAACACAAAGTGCAAACTTGGAAATCCGACAATTTAAACTTGAGATCTGAACAAAACTGTCTCAAAACTGCAAACTTTTTTTGTGAAAAGTGAATCCTCACTCGAGCAAGCAGGCGTGACACAGTGGAGACACAGCAGGCATGCATTAGTGTATTATCTCCACTGCACAAACCATGTGTGCAGCGTTGTCTGTAACAACAACAGGGTGTTTGCTGGTCAGGCCCCATCTGTTAATGCTTTCAATCAACCTATTAGCTATATTTGCAGCTGTCTGGCTTGAAGTATTTTGAGTGCATCTTTCCTGCTAATTTGAATGTGAATGTCAAGCGCGTCACTATAAAACTAATCGATCTCATTCCCTAGACATCGATTTTGCAAAAATGTAAAGGAATCGATTCAAAATCGATTTTTTTTAACCAGCCCTACCGCTGACTCCGAAATCCCACATCCTCTGTCACCGCTCCGCCCCGCTGTGCTCCCGACCTCCTGCTCAAAGCAAAGCCTACATCCTCCGCTCTTCCTCTTTGCTCCGACTTTCTTAGTTTGAAGAAAACATGTGCTATATTATTAAATTCAAACCAATTCAAACCAGCAAAACAGGGTTTCCGCGGATCCTTACTAGGGTTGTCAAAAGTATCGATTCTCAAAAAAGTATCGATACTGAAATGTTGTATCCGGATACAATACTCGTTTCTAAAAGTATCGATACAGTGCCACCACCAGTGGCACCTAAGCAGTCATTCATCTAAAGTGCAGAATAGTGAAAAATCCACTTTCTGAACACTGTGTGATTGAATAATTCTACGCACTTTTCAGTTTCAGACTTTTTTTTTGTAACAGGTGCAGCTGCTGAGAATTATGTTTGTTTCTTAACCGGTTTGGCTAGTGTCATTGTTATGTGTGCAAAGCATAGCTAAGGAAGGAACACTTAATTTTAATTCTATAAGTTTTTTTATCAAGCTTGCTTAATATTGTGCACAGCATACAACCTTTATTGTATTTATTAATTGTATTTTATTTATTAATGAAAATATTTCTGTAGAATTTTGGAGTCTTTGTTTTTATCCTTGTGGTATCGAAAATGGTATCGAGTATCGAATATTTTCCTTAGTATCGGTATCGAGTTGAAAAATTTAGTATCGTGACAACCCTAATCATTACTTATAATTAAGTCATTAAATTATTTTGTAAATTAGGGCCTTAATTGGCACTAATTAAATGTGATTTTTGTGGCATTTGAAATGCTTTATTAAAAAAAAAAAAAAAAAAAAAAATATATATATATATATATATATATATATATATATATAAAGACAATTTCGTCAAATATATTGCGATTAATTTGTTATATCCAAGTAACGTTTTCAATTCGATTTATTTCTATAGCGCCAATTCACAACACAAGCCATCTCGACGCACTTTACAGTTCAACCAGATCATACAGTCAAATTAATTCAAGTTTTCTATCTAAGGAAAACCACTTGAGTGTATCAACTAATTTACTCAAATATAATCCCTCACATTAAGCATACTTGTAGCGACAGTGGAGAGAAAAAACTCCCCTTTAACAGGAAGAAACCTCCAGCAGAACCAGGCTCAGTGTGAGCGGCCATCTGCTGAGGCCGACTGGGGTTCAAGTAGACAGAAGCAGAGATAGAAAAAGCAGCTCTAAAAGGCGGCCCCGTCCAGGAAACACACAGCCAGGCAGACGAGCTTCGAGCTAGCTCCCATGTCAGAGGATGAAGACAGCACATCCAGTTAGTCACAGTCAGAGAAACAGGATTACACTGAAGAACAGGCCGATCTCCAGCATCTATAAACAAAGGTGTTGATGGAAGCAGCACAACTTCCATCAACTATGAGCAATGCCTTGAAGGCACAAACTGAATAGCTCACAATTTATCATTTATGGTACGGCAGTATTCATAACATTTAGGCGAATCACTGTCACCCAGACATCCGCATATTTATGTTTAAAAAAAAAAAAGACGTCATCCGCGTACTGGACTGGAGTCGTAACAGGCAGCCCGGGCCACAGGCGGCTACCCTCTACCCCTTCTATTCATTCGGCTACCTAATCTGAATCGTTCAATTCCATTTTGAGAGCGAGAACATCTGTATTACTAGCACTAGACATCTTCCAGGCATGTGCGTTAAACTAGCAGCAGTTCAGTGGACAGAATGAATGAATGGTAGCCGGCGTGCACGGGTGACTTCAAACACGCAGCGCTTTGTTTTTAAAACATATAAATATAAAAAATATAACTGCAGATGTCTAGGGGACAGTGATTCGACTACATATTATGAATGCTGGCGTACCATAAATGATAAATTATGAACAGTTTTGCCTTCAAGTATTTTGCCCCTAGGAATACGTTACTTGGAAATAACCTAATGGAATATCTTCAGAACAGCTCCAAATGACACAAAACTCATATGGGTGAGCAGAACTTGATGTAATAACGTAAAATCAAGGGCTCAATGTAAAAAAAAAAAATTACTTTCCCCTTTAAGGCAGTACTGCAGAACTAGCAACCCCATAAACAAAATCATCAACCTGTGAAGTGGAATAAACTAAACATTAACACTATCTGATAATGATCTGCTAAAGTGAAACCTTCTTTTGGGGTAGGAGAACTCTGTTAAAGTAATCCTGAAGGTTATTAAAATATGGTCAAAGAGGACAGGGTTGTGAGGAAATACTGTTATTTCTTCACATTCTATGCCATATGTCAGCACAAGGTCTAAAATATGAAAATGAGACTGTGTAGGACTATTCACATTTTGAACACAGCCAATAGATTCTAAGATAGCAATAAAGGCTGCTCTTAAGCTATGGATGGTAAAATCCCCCACTATGATGACCCTGCCAGTATTTAACACCAAATCAGGTAGGTACTCTAAAAACTCATCTAAAAATTCAGAGTCTGGACCTTTAATTATTAACTGCCTTTGGAGTAATCATTAAGTCATACTGAAAGTAGTTGCTCCTACTCCTCACCAATGAATTCTGTTTTTTGAAAATAAATAACTTGAAGGAGTTGACTTCAGAGCGTTAAAGCAACTTGACCACAGTGTAATCTAGTGTCCAGATTTCTGCGTCTGTGCATTTTTGATACCCACGTCTCCGGTGTGAACGCAGTATTACAGCGTGTGCAAACCACTATCACCAGGTGCCCGGAAGTATTCCCATACTTTGGATACTTTCGGTCTTCAAGCTAACAGATGCCTCCCGCCTCGATTCAGACTCATCGACGGTGCCATTTTCATCTCGCGCTCAAAACAAGAACCAACAGTAACAGAAGCTCGTGACACGAGAGGAAATAGAGCCAATTTATGGAGCCAAAAATGTGCTGTGTAGTGGAATTTTCTGAACTCAGATGAGTCTCAGATGTGACCAAAATAAATAAATAACAGGCTGAGAAAAATTAGAATGAATTTTCATCGTCGATTTATGTTGTCACTAGCTCTCACGTAATGCTTCTAGATAGAACTGAGGTGTTGGCAAACAGCGGCACCGGTTGGAGAGAGCAGAGCTGTGACCACCAAAGTTGTTAAATTTTTATTTTTTTTTACTTAAGATGTAATATAGAGAAAATAAATTTAACAAAAGTAGAAATAAGGAATGATCTCGATTTTGTTTAGGTGGCTTTAAAAATAACTTTTTTAATTTAGCCCTATCCACTGGGATCCACAGGCCCATAAAGGTATAACCTTCTGCCTTTTATTCATCAAATAATTTTTTTTTAAACAAAATTCAAGATCCACTTGGCCCTATTATTTTGTCAATTATTTTCTTTGTCCAATAATCTATTTGGATTTGGCTTTGTTGACTAAATATATATTTTTTTAATATATTGTTTTTTATTAAATGCAGCCGGCTTGACTCACTGCACCCTCAAAGGTTTTCAAAAAGTAGATCTTTTACACTTATTCATAAAAGGAAGATATCTATGGAGACAGTTGGTGCATTTAAAATCTCTTTAGAAAATAGAAACATAAGAAAAAATCAGGGTGACAGAGGTAAAACATTTTGCCCCTCTCCCTTATCTTCACAATACTTCCCAAGCAACACCCCACATTGTCATGTGTAGGGAACCTTAAACCCAAGATTAAATGACATAACTTACAAATAACTACAATAATTAAGTATAATTCCCCCAAATTAATAACGAATAATGTCTAATAACTCTTAATAGTAAAGTAACTGCAAAACAAAAAAAAATTAAGCGTCTCAAATAAGTTCAAATATCAAAATAACACAAAAAAATGAGTCTCCTACACTGCTCTTTAACCATTAGTGGTGTGAAACATTCTGTAGTTGTGCTAACACAAGGTTGTTGGTTCACATTTAATGCAATGGTTCACATTTAATGCCCAAACTCTGGCCATCTCAGGGAAGATGGCCTAAGTTTATTAACTGTATCCTGTGGCTGTGGACTTTGCAAACATTGATCTGTTTTTGAGTATAACCTTGGAGTTCTCTTTAACATGGACCATATAAACTCATCTCAAACTGCCTTTTATGTCAGGATACTTCATCCTCGGACCACTTGAGGACTCAAGACAGGCTAAAGCTAAGACTCATGCCACCCTTTGTGGCAGTTATTTTAACTTTTCAATTACAACAACACATTTGTTAAGGAAGAGTGGCGGCCCTGTGGTTAGGACATGGGGCTTGTGAGTTCGAAACCCACTCCCACAGACTGCCACTCTGGATCTCTGAGCAACACCCTTAACCCCCGATTACCAGGTGATTTCAGGTATGGGAACACCTAAAACACACTAGACATTGTGTCCCCAGAACCAAAGTTAAAGACCAGGTTAAGTCTTTGCCTTCAATGCAATAAACATAGTGGTGTGTGACCCCTCCATCTTGTCCAATTTGTCTGGTTTTATGCTGACGGCTCTGCAGGAGGAGAGATCACAGCTTTGATGCAGTCATGGTCTTCCAGTCCATTACAGGATCACCTTATCTGATTGGTTGACACTCGCCTCAAACTGAAAAACAGTCTGACAGTTTGGACGCAGGTCAACACTTGAAAGCTCCCAATGTGCCGAAGAGGTGAAACAGGCCTAAATGGTAGAATTTCATGTAAACCAGGAGCCCCTGACACTAAAGTAATTTTATCCCAATGCAGCATGAGGAAAAGACTCTAGCATCAGAGTTTATAAGACACTAAAAGTAATTTAACATATCTGAGATTTCGAGAGAAAACCGCACTATAATCTGGTAATGCAGTTATCAACCAGATATGTAGAAATGTTTCATTGCTCACTTTCAGCTGCTACAAACAGCTAGCAGGTAGCGGGAAATAACAGATATGACTGCCATCAAGCTGATGATAGCGAGTAAACACTCCAACCACCCACCTAACATGTAGCCACCGTGGCCTGTGGGTGGGGCTACGCTGCTTTGAAACCTCCAAAAGTCATTTTAAAGTTGGCTCATTGTTGATTGACTGACTGGTGAAATTTCTGGGTCTACTTTCTCCCCTGAAAACATCTTGAAATAAATTTTAACGTTTATATTTAATAACTGAGCCATCTTTTATCACATACTTATGACTGTAACAGTACTTTAACCCCTGTTGATGAAATTTCAAAAGTATGCAAGTTTACAATTACAGAAATGTAAACATAAGCTACATCCTGAACCATTCAACTGAAAAATATCTGTAAAGTAGTTTAAACAAGCTTTGATGACAAAGTGGAGGTCCAAGCCTTTCTAGACGACAGCGCAGCGTTGCCTGGACCTTTCTAACCTGTGATGTGATGTCAGAGCTGCAGTGAATGCTGGGAAATGTAGTTCTACTCTGGGGCGAACATGGCGTTGGATGTAGGAGTTTGCCCTGAAATCGAAGGGTTGACGGTTCAAGCCCCTACTCCGACTTTCGGTGTCGTTGTGTCCTTGGGCAAGACACTTCACTTGCATTGTCTACTGATGGTGGTCAGAGGGCCCGGTGGCGCCAGTGTATGGCAGCCCCGCTTCTGTCAGTGAGCCCCAGGGCAGCTGTGGCTACAATGTAGCTTGCCACCATCAGGGTGTGAGTGTGTGTGTGAATGGGTGAATTAATGTAGTGTAAAGCGCTTTGGTCAAGTCTCCTAACTTGAATAAAGGCGCTATATAAGTACATGCCATTTACCATTTACCATTTATATGCAGCTTGATCAAAACATGGATGGTTAAAGTAAAGTGTCCTTTCTTTAACCTGCAATTCAAATTCTTTCTCCTGTGTTTGATTTTCCAGACTGCCTGCAGGATTATGTTGGAAAAGAAGAGGTTTTCCCTGAGCAGCAGTTCTCTGCACAGGAGAGGAATTCCAGTTTGGACCAAGCAGAACCAGAACTTCTGCAGATAAAAGAAGAGCAGGAAATGCCCTGGATAAAAGAGGAAACCGTGGAGCTCCCCATAATTAAGCATGAAGAGCAGCTTGTTGAGACTGGAGATACAGAAAGGAACCCTTTCCCATGTTTGAGATGTGGAAAAAGGTTTCTGAAGAAACAATATTTAATGGTTCACATTAGAACTCACACAGGTCGGAAGATTCACAAATGTTGGTCTTGTGGAAAAAGGTTTACCGGAAAACAATGTCTTGCTAAACACATGAGAATTCACACAGGTGAAAAACCTTTCGAATGTTTGTCCTGTGGAAAAGGCTTTGCAAGAAAAGAAAATCTTGATCAACACATCAGAACTCACACAGGTGAAAAACCTTTCGAATGTTTGTCCTGTGGGAAAAGCTTTGCAAGAAAAGAAAATCTTGATAAACACATCAGAACTCACACAGGTGAAAAACCTTTCGAATGTTTGTCCTGTGGAAAAAGCTTTACAACAAAAGAAAATCTTAATAAACACATCAGAACTCACACAGGTGAGAAACCTTTCGAATGTTTGTCCTGTAGAAAAAGCTTTACAACAAAAGAAAATCTTAATAATCACATCAGAATTCACACTGGTGAGAAGTCGTTCTGCTGTACTCTTTGTGGCAAAAGTTTTGCTAGAAAACATAGCCTGACCATTCACATTAGAATTCACACAGGTGAGAACCCTTTTAAATGTGAGTCCTGTGGAAAAAGCTTTACCGAAAAACGCTCTCTTTATAATCACATCAGAATTCACACAGGTGAGAAGCCTTTCAAATGTGAGTCCTGTGGAAAAAGCTTTACCGATAAAGGTTATCTTAATAAACACATCAGAACTCACATAGCTAAGAGTTTTAAATGTGAGTCCTTTGGAAAACGCTTTACCCATAAAAGTATTTTTGATAGACACATCAGATTTCACACATGTGAGAAGACGCTCTGCTGTACTCTTTGTGGCAAAAGTTTTGCTAGCAAACATAACCTGACCATTCACATGAGAATTCACAGAGGTGAGAAGCCATTTAAATGTGAGTCCTGTGGAAAATGCTTTATCCAAAAATGTGCTCTTAATAAACACATCAGAATTCACACAGGTGAGAAGCCATTTAAATGTGCATCCTGTGGAAAAAGCTTCAGCCAAAAAAGTGATCTTGATAGACATATCAGAATTCACACAGGTGAGAAGCCTTTCAAATGTGAGTCCTGTGGAAAAAGCTTTACAGATAAAGGTTATCTTAATAGACACTTTAGAACTCACATAGCTAAAAGTTTTAAATGTGAGTCCTGTGGAAAAAACTTTATCCAAAAATGTGCTCTGGATAAACACATCAGAATTCACACAGGTGAGAAGCCTTTCAAATGTGTTTCATGTGGAAAAAGCTTTAGACATAAAGGTAGTTTTGATAGACACATCAGATTTCAAACATGTGAGAAGACGGTCTCCTGTACTCTTTGTGGCAAAAGTCTTGCTAACAAACATATCCTGGCTTCTCACATGAGAATTCACACAGGTGAGACGCCATTCACCTGTACTCTTTGTGGCAAAACTCTTGCTAACAAACATATCCTGGCTTCTCACATGAGAATTCACACAGGTGAGAAGCCTTTCAAATGTGTTTCATGTGGAAAAAGCTTTAGACATAAAGGTAGTTTTGATAGACACATCAGATTTCAAACATGTGAGAAGACGGTCTCCTGTACTCTTTGTGGCAAAAGTCTTGCTAACAAACATATCCTGGCTTCTCACATGAGAATTCACACAGGTGAGACACCATTCACCTGTACTCTTTGTGGCAAAACTCTTGCTAACAAACATATCCTGGCTTCTCACATGAGAATTCATACAGGTGAGAAGCCATTTAAATGTGAGTCCTGTGGAAAAAGCTTTAGCCAAAAATGTGCTCTTGATAAACACATCATAATTCACACAGGTGAGAAGCCTTTCAAATGTGTCTCATGTGGAAAAAGCTTTACCGATAAAGGTTATCTTCATGTACACATGAGGATTCACACAGGGGATAAGCCTTTCAAATGTGTCTCATGCGGAAAGAGCTTTATCAGAAAACAGCATCTTAATAATCACATGAGAATTCACACAGGTGAGAAGCCATTTTCCTGTACTCTTTGTGGCAAAGGTCTTGCTAGCAAACAGCGCATGATTTGTCACATGAGAATTCACACAGGAGAGAAGACTTTCAAACATGTGTCCTCTGGATAAAGCTTAAACACTTCAAATCTCACACAGGTGACAAGCCGTTGTCTTGTACTCTTTGTGGCAATAGTTTCATTCGAAAGCTTAGCTTGGCTTCTCACATGAGAATACACAGAGGTGAGAAGCCTTACAAATGTGGATCCTATGGAAAAAGCTTTACCCAAAAAGGCAGTCTTGATAAACATATCAGAAATCAGACAGGTGAGACGCCTTTCTCTTGAACTAGGTGTGGCAAAAGTTTAATCAAAAAGATAGTTTGACATCTCAAAGATCAACTCGTGAGAAATCCATTCATGAATCTGATCTAAAAAGAAAGTTTTATTGATTCACATAAGAAGTCATATCAGTTAAACGCCCGTGGAATGAACAGGAGAGACCTTTTCCATGTTTTACACTTGATAAAAAGCTGTAACACACGGAAAACATGTTTGTTTAAAGAGCTGAACAAGGTTCAAATTGCTTATTTTATTAGAATTTAATATTTTGCTGATATATTGCCGATGAATGTGAATCTGCTATAACTTGGTTTAAAGCCTTTTGGCTTAATGTATTACAGAAGACTTTCACTCCTGTAGAAGTGCATGTTTTTTTGTTGTCAATTTTTTTTTTTTTTTTTTTTTTTTTAACATCTTTTAAATAAAACTGTCAACAAAAACATATTCACTCAACCATTTCTGGGCCATAGGGATAAAAGTAAAAGTTACAAATTGCAACTAAAACTTGTCTACCAAAAAGTGTGCATTGTTGTAAAATATCAATGGATCAAGATTAAATGTGTTTCTTTGCACTAGAATGGATAATTTGGAACGAAAGTCAGACCTTGGACAGATATTTGTTATTTTTTTCCATTAAATGTCAGATTTACAATCTGTGTTGATATGTTTTAAAGATCTTTAACAGTTAACATTTTCTATGATTTTTTTCCTATAGTTTTGTTTCTGATTCTGTAGATGTTAAAATAACCTGGTGTCATTTAGAGAAACTATCGTCTGTTTTATAGAACTAGATTTTATTGCATTGTTTTCTGCACTGGATGTTTTCCATGAATGTATTCACTTCTAGATGGATGAACCAAGCAGAATAAAACATGGATTGTAAAGATTGCTTCTGTATATGGTTTCATGTACGTCATTAACAATCTTTATTGGTGTTTTCTCTTTCAGCTCTCATTCCTTCACGGTACTGCTTAAGGAACACTAGAAGAGCCCAACAGATTTTACTTTCCGCTTGATTTACTGTATGCATATAAATTGCTTTATTATAATTAGGCAGGTAGTTTTACAGATTATATGGACACTGCAATGTTGGTAGAACTGAAGAGGGAGAAAAGAAGAAAAGATGAAAGAAAGAGGAAATAAAAGGGAGATAATGATAAAAAAATTTTTAGTCTGCTTCATCACCTGCAAAGAGATGTAAAAAGAACAGCACAGCCAACAAACATGGTACATGATATACAATAAAGTAACACCTAGATGCTGTCGCTAAGGTAGTATTATTTAATCGGACATGTACTCTGTGTAACCTGAAGATAAGAGTGTGGGCTTTCTGTATGAAAGTAAATCTGAGTACCTGGAACCAAGCATCTCAACTCAACTTTATTTATAAAGCGCTTTCAGTCAGCCAAAGCTAAAATCAAAGCGCTGTACAGGTTATTTGAGCAGATTATAAAACACAATTATCACCACAACACAAGACAAACTCAAAGATAAAAAAAAACAGTAAGAGGTAAAAAAAAAATAAATAAATAAGTAAATAAAAAAATAAGAAAAAACAAAACCAAGTAAGAGAGGGAAATTAAGACAACTAAGATAAAGTCGAAGTCTCACTCAAAGGCCTGAGAGAAAAATTGGGTCTTTAAAAGGGTTTTAAAAGAGCTGAGTGTAGGGGCCTGTCTGATAGAAAGGGGGAGGGCATTCCACAGTTTGGAAGCTGCCACAGAGAATCCTAGTTATTCTCGTTACAAAAATCTACAAAAAAAAAAAGTATTTGTGCAGAAACTGAACATATGCTGGATGATGGTGGGATTTTTTTTTTAAATATTCCATATTAAATTAAGCGTTCACAGGGTTACAGGAATGAGTGACTCTAATTAAATGCTATTTTAATGCTATTAGAAATTATTTTAATGCCATCAACAAGTACCATGTACACAAGTTATTAGTGTACATGAAATATGAAGGAGCTTTAAGCACAGTTCCATGACTCTGGTATGTATGTAAACACACACACACACATATATATATTTTTTTCTAACTTTTTCTCCGCCTCGAGCTTCCTTTCTGAACATACGGCTTTATGATCAGTTCCACGCAAATAAATCGCGATATAATATGTCTGACGAAATTGTTTTTATAAACATTTTTATTAAAGAATCATAAATGCCATGATAAACATATTTAATTCTATCTCCAAGGAACTGTAGGCTTTGCTTTGCGCAGGCGGTCCGGAGCGCAGCACTGACGGAGTATGTGGGATTTCAGGGGTTAGTCAGAACCTCAGACATTCATGGCACAGGGACAAAGCAACATACCACAAAATCATGCAGAGATGAAGCTAATCTCTCTGAGTGGCTGCTGTGGAAATAGAGAATTTGGTTTGTGACTAAAACCTGTGCACAATTTTACTACTACTGTATCAGACCATGTTTGGACCCTTTTCTCTCTCTGGATTTGCCTAAGTTTTCATCTCCAGGTCCTTCAATAACATTATGGAACATGGTGACAGCAGGAAATGAAAAAAACGAGACCCATCCTGTTTTTAAACAACCACAGGCCTGATAACAAACGTTTTGTTTTCCAGTCCTGTAGCTTACATAGGAAAAGGTAGTTGCTGTTGAGTTTTTTTCTTTTAAAAAGATGATTTTTGGTTTAGATATTTAAGGTTAGTTCTAATTTGATCAGAAATTATTATACTGACTCTAAAACAATCATCGTGTAGGCTATGTTCACACTGCAGGCCTTGATGCTCAATTCCGATTTTTTTGTGAAGTCTGATTTTTTTTTTTTTTTTGCCTTTCCGTTCATATTTCCAAATATGTGCGACTTGTATGTGATCTCCTGTGTGAACTGCAGTCATACAACGCAAGTGTCCCGCATGCGCAGTAGTGGACGCAATGGCGTCACAGGCCAGCGTGCTCTATGTTTACGGATATAAACATGGATGGAAGTGCCGACGCGAATCTAGCGATCTTTTCTAACCACAAAAACTCAATCTTTTCAATATGGTTAAACATAAATACTGCTCTCTGCATCATCGTCCACCATGGTTGTTTTTTTTGCCGCTCCTGCATAGCAAGACGCAGAATAGTGGCCTTTGTCAGGTATTAATGACACGTTCCAACACAGGTCGCATTGGAAAACATCCGATTCATAACGGATTCAGGACCACAGAGCCAAGTGGACTGGGTCGCATTGGAAAAAATTGGTTCTGTGTTGTTCAGACTGCCATGAAAAGATCAGATCCAGGTTGCATATGGGCAAAAAAATCATATTTGGGTCACTTAAGGCTGCAGTGTGAACGTAGCCTTCATCAAAGCCAACCAGGACGTACATTATCACCCTCATTTTCCCACAGATAAGTCATGTCAAGAAAGTCAGTGTGTCAGCAATCATTTTCTTCATTGTAAGATGCAGAAAGGAATCTAAATGAGAAAGTTATCAACCTTTCCCTGCATAGTTGGAAGTCTATGGAAAAGGAAAATAAAATAAAATATATGGTTGATCACTTTAACCTTTACTGATTGCTGCGTCCAGGCACTTTCAGGCCTGGATCTCCCCCACCTCAGTCCAAGCAGGGTAGCCACTTCTCAAACCAAAACAATAACTCATTAATTTAAAAATGTTTTTAGCCTCCTTGTTCTCCCCCCCCCAAAAAAATTCCCCAGTGTCTCTGTTCTCATGGTTCTTGCACACACAGGTGTTCAGAGCAAATCAAAATCCTTTTGTCTTGTTTACCCCATATTTTAACTCATCATTTTCATCCGGTTCCTGTGACAGTGTATGGGCGTTGGGGGGTGGGGGGAGATCGATGCTTGTAGCAGCCTGTATTTCTCCAGCGGGCTGACGGGAGGGATGGCACCTCCTCCAGGTCTGAATTCCAAAAGGAGCGGCTCCATTCAGGGAGTCCATGTTTAAAGGGCAGGGAGTAAAAAAAAAAAAAAAAAGTTAGTGGATGGCAAAGTTTTCAATGTTTCAAATGAATAATAACAACAACAAAAAAATTAAGTTGTTAGGACACACAGCGCTGGTATGAAATGTCCTTAATGGAGGGAAGAGAGGGAAAAGTAAATAAAGTAATCCTGAAGGTTAATAAAAAGTGGTGAGAGAGGACAGGGGTGTGAGGAAATACTGTTACTGCTTCACATTCTATGCCATATGTCAGTACAAGTTCCAAAGTATGAAGATTAGAATGTGTGGGACTATTCTCATTTTGAACAAAGCCAATAGCATCTAAGTTAGCATTAAAGGCTGCTCTTAAGCTATCACCTTCAGTGTCAGTGTAACTGGGTTCTGCTTCACTTCACTGTACCAGGCCAGCCCAAGTAGCCCCTCGAATCTGCGTTGTGTGATTTTTTTTTTTAATGAAGACAAGGAGTTTCTGGGTGATCAGGCAGTTTATATCTTGAATGAGAACATATTGGGGTTGGAATCAGTGCAACAGCTCAGCTTCACTCAGCACACTACAACAGAGCTTTATTATTTTAGCTTTTTACTTAGTATATGAGGTGTTTTCCAATATTAACAAAAGTACAAGAATTGGTGCCAAGCACTGATCTACTAAACACTGTTACATCAGCATGGATGTTAAAATCTCCCACTATGATGACCCTGTCAGTATTTAATAAAAAATCAGAAAGGAACTCTGAAAACTCATCTAAAAATTCCGAGTAAGGACCTTGTGGATGATACAAAGTTACAAAAAGAAGAGATTTTCTTGCTTTGCAATTTTGATTAGGGAAAATATGGGTTAAATGTTCAAAACAGTTGTAAGTATTAACTGCCTTTGGAGTAATCAGTAAGTCAGACTAAAAGATTGTTAAAACTCCTCCTCCTCCTCACCCTAAA